CAGTGATCCGGGCTCTGGGAGCACGTGAGACACTCAGCGTAACACTGAGCTGAGATGCAGAACAAAGAAACATCCAGATAATTAAAGCAACACTATTTAACAGTTCCACAACGATACCTTCCTGATAGCATGCAGTTGCAAAGCACCATGTTAAATAAAATACGCATAATTAAATCTGAACCTAATATTATAGAAAATTCCAGAACCAATTCACAAACATTTTGGTCTTCACTTCTGGATGATGTTTTGACTGGCGTTAACTTACTCACCTCAATAAAACTTACTGTTTTAGAAAGATTCAGAAAAACAACAGAAGGGAATTTTATGCCTTACCCTACTTATTATTGAATGCAAAAACAATGAATGAAGTTGACTGATAAACCAAAAGACTGGCCTTAACCCCCTGGAGTGTTCTTCATGCTGAGGCATGGAGAACATCCTATCTCGAACACTGCATCAAGACTATTAAGTTTCAAAGGTCCCAGTATCTCCATCATTCTGCATCGTCTTCCAACCCCAAACAAGATCTCGAGATGACGTGTAGCAATCGAGCAGAGCCTCACTTCATGCATTGAGGGGGGGGGGGGGGGGGGTATGTGGCAGTGTCACACCCCCAGACGGAAACCCAAAACCAGGGTTCAAATTCAGCGAGAAGAAATAGTCACCTGCTTAGCCCTTCCTACCATTCTCACCCAAAATGGTGAACTTATGGGCTTAACAACAGCACCTGTACCCACGAGAGCAAAATCAAAGCTGGGACAGGGAGGACAAATTGTTCACGGGCTGCCTGGGATTGAGTATCACTGATGTATTTAATGACTGTCTGAAGCACTTCGGAGAGCCACGGTGTCAGGTTCTCACCGCATTACCTGCGGCACATTTGAACACAATTGAACTCATAATGAGCGTTGAGTTCGGCACGGCGACTCGCGGGCGCCTGTCCCCGAGACAGCAGCCCGCCTCACCTGTGTGGCATTCAGGACAGCACCCCCCCGGTCTGGCCACAGCAAGGCTGCCAGGTCGGCAGGTTGGGCAGGAGCGCTTGTAACAGGCCGCATGGGAATCCCGGCACTCACACTGCCTACAAGGTCCGTCGTTCCAGCGCTCCAGGTTCTGACACAACAGAGAGACCATCGACTACAGACGGCACAATAGGAGGGTGGGCAGGCACACAATGTGCTTAATTACCCATGAATCATCGGTCTTTCGGCCAACTGTTAATATTTAAGTCAAATGAGTCACTTCTTAAAGGTTCATGGCATTAATATGCAAACAAGGAGGCAGAAGATTACTATCTTAATGCCGCTGTGCTACTTTGAGTAATACGATGCACAGGCTACTACTCTACTCTTAACAATGCAAGTAACAACGCAGGCAATGACACAGGCAGAGCATATAGCCGCTGGCTCACAGAACATGTTACCTGGTAGGTCTGCTGCTTGAACACGCAGTTGCTGCTCACAGACCTGCACTCGGGGCAGCATTTTCCTGGGAAGTGCACCAACTCTTCACCCTGGCAAAAAGGTTTGAAATCTGTTCACTCTTCCTCTGCCCAGATCTCACAGGACCACCACATACTGTGAGGAATATGTACCATAGCTTATTTTGTGCAGATAAATCACCAGCAAAGCACTAGCAGTGATGTCCCTGACCCTCACGTACTGCTTTCAGTCACTCCACCATCGCTCACTGGCTTCAGTCACTCCATCCTTCACCAGTTTCAGTCATCAGTTAAACACTCACTGCTATCAGTCACTTCTTCTTCGCTCACTGGATTTAGTCATTCCATCTCCCACCAGTTTCAGTCATCCTTTTTACTCTCACTGCTTTTATGACTCCATCATTCAGTGTCAGTCTTCCTTCCTCATTCATTAAGCTATACATTTTTTTATTCTGTATTGATGCTGTATTGCCAGACCCTCTGAATAATCCACAGTATGTTTGCAGTTAAGCCCATTCAAAGTATCCTGATGAGTGTGTTTGGTGCACAGCATGGTGTAAAACCTTCCCAAAGTCTCTGCTTCCTCACCCATGAGCACTTCACAGTGCCGCAGTCCGCCTTCCGGCAGAGCACCTGACCCCGGTCACAAGTGCAAAATTCGCAGCCTGTGATGTTCCACATGTCACCATGGTAACGGGCCATGCCCTGGTACACACAGGTGCCTTTGGGTGAGACACAGTCCTCACAGCACTGTCCAGCTCGCTTCACTGCATTCTGGCCCTGTGCAGAGGCACTGCATTACTTACAGCAAGAGTCTGTAGCCATTAGCCATACGTATTCATAGTGACTTATAGACACGCTTCTCCATTGATAAGTCTGGAATTAAATGTACTTGTACTGCTATGCCAGCAGCCATCTTTAAGATTTCATCTTTCTGATGGATTTGAAACTTTAGATTTTAAAATTAGTGCAAAGATGGCCTCAGGCCTTCTCTCTACCAACCTTCTTGCAGGTCACAGGTGGACATGTCTGCGTGTGACAGCGTTCCTGGCCGTGATCACACCGGCATGTCGTACAGCTGCTCTTCAGCCATTGCTCCCCATGCTGAGGACAAATACGGCCATACAAGTCAGAAATGTTAAAGGATACATTGAGAATTAAATACAAGTATTTTCCTGGCTGCAACTTTTGCAAAGACTAAATTGGCATACTACTCCAACAAAAGACTTGCCACATGTATAATGTTTGTAATCTTTAGTGTGAAATAGTTCAATTCTGTAACTGATTCATAAGTAAAACAATGAATGGATATGTGAAACACAAGGTCACTATAAATGCATCACAAATTGAGTTGTATCTAAAACTGTATGAGCAAAGTCAGGAAAAAGCCATTTGAAAGGTCGACAGGAGTGTTCCAACGACCTCATGCATGACTACACACCAGGGAAACCACTGCTCTGAAGATCAAAAGAGAAACATTCCATGGTACGATGGAGAATCTTATCAGCAAACGGCTCCCACAGGCACCATCTGCAAACTTCCAGAAGAAGGGGTCTTCTCTGGGCTGCCTGGACCCAAGCCAGGCCAGCAGGAAATGGGACCACTCCCTCATTTCACCTCTTATAATTCTTTATTCCACTTTCATCTTTTTCAACTTTCATCCTGTGCTCTTAAATCTCTCTGATGACGATTTTTCAAGGTTACCTTATACTCCGTCCCAACCACAAGACAAGAGTCTGGCTCACACTGAGGGCAGCACTTTCCAGGGTGGACGACCAGGTTTTCATGCTGTAGAAGAACAGGGAAATATTGCTGATGGGGTGTCTAAGCATCCTACCATTTGTGTTTGTGTATTTAAAAATTACAGTCATAGTGTGTATGTGTAGTATCCATTTTGTATGTTTATATACTGTAAACAATCACTGACACAGTGTGTGTATACAAGGTACCTGTTGTGCAGACGTGACCTGTTGTACCGAATGTTTATAAAAGAATCCATGACACAGTGTATCCATTCCGTATGTTTACATAAACAATCACTAACACAGCCTATATGTGTATTAAGGTATCCCGCCTGTGTGTTTATAAAAAAAGATCACTGGCACACGATATCCATTCTGTATGTTTATATAAACAATCACCGACCCAATATTTATACAGTATATCCAGGTTTATATAAATTACTGACACATTGTCTCAATTTTGATTGATTAAAAAAAATCAGTGGAGATATTATACATTATGTAAATTTATATAAACAATCACTGGCACAATGTATCATTCATTCCTTATATTTATAGAGTATAGAGAATCACTGGCAGAGTAAGAGTATACACAGTGCACCCACCGGCTTGCACACTATGGACTGGCACTCAGCTACAAAACACTGGGTCTCTCCTGCACTGCACACACATTTCATACAGGGGGAGGGGTACCACTGCCCTCCGTCCCGGAACACCAGGCCGTCCGCTGAGCAGGATGCTGTGGAGCCCACAAAATCATGGAGCGATGAGTGTCAAAGGCAGAGATACTCAGTAACACTCAGGAAGAGCTGAATAAAGGGTCAGTTTAAAAAAAAGCACTTTTTGCAAAAAGCAGAAACAGAGGAAAGAGGGTTAAACACCAGCATGAGCACACACAGCAACCTGATGTTACCTCCAATGACTGCAATGCATCATCTGATAAGTGTCATGTACAAAACTATCTGGCTTGAATTATTTCAAAAGCTCCATTGAGTTTAATGACTAATAAAAACATTACAAGCAGCATGATTCAGTTTCAGACTCCCCACCAGGAATGCTGACCTCCACTGCCCTGACATTGGGGACAGCATTCTCCAGGAAGCGTGGAAGGAGTCTGTCCCTTTCCACAGTTGAGGGGGCGACAGGTCAGGGGGTTGCAGGACACTGTCCCTTGAGAACAGGTGCAGAGCGAACACCGTGAGCCGTTCCACTGGCTGCCGTGCTGCGGGGGGGGGGAGGTGTAGGGTCAGCTCACATGGGCAATGGTATGACCTGACGCACTTTAGTCCCATATTCTTTCTGTGGGAGTGTGCTATCTGCCATTCTCATTATGTTTTCCACACCAGTGAAACTGAACCACTCACCTCTAATTAGGACAGTATTTTTTTTCATTGCATTCCTTAGTGTTTATCTGTGTGTGTGAAGTGAATCTGTACAACAGGGTCAACACTACTACTGCTACAATAAAACGGCTGACATGAATCACACGACCAGACAACGATAAAGCAAGGAGCCAAAAGCGAGAGCGATGTCACTAACCCCGTAGATGGATCCTTCGTAATGACAAGAGTCTTGCGATTGTAGGACACACTCAGGACAGCATTTATTGGGAAGTATTCTCAAGATCCCTCCCTAGGAACACATTTTAAAATAGCACCATCGGCAGAACAACAAGACAATCCGCAATGACTAAATGAAAGATGTCAGTTGCTTGATTATTTTTGTAAAGTGTTGTGACTGGAATCCCATGCTAGGTCCAGAAGTAACGTGGTGGATTTAACATCTTGGATTCCCACGCTGAAAGCTCACCTTCTGAAAGTCACACTGAGGGTTCAGACACTGAGGAGTTCGGCAAACCACAATGTCATGGGCACAGATGCAGTCCTGGCACGAATCCGGCTTCCAGGAACTGTTATTCTATGGATAATCAGAAAGAGGTGAGTGGACACACACGCTGTCATTTAAAGAGAAATGTTGGTGTGTCTTACATAGTGATATCAGGTAGGAGCTAATGATACCTTAACCTGCTACCCATTCATAGCCCTGACAACCTTCATCAGTACTTAACATGCTAAAAATAACACAAATCAAACAACATGTAATAATATAAAGACAATGTGATTAATACTATGCTATAAGGTAAATAGATAATTCAGTCATACCAGAGCTGTAAAAATATACTGATGCATAGTGACCTGAAAGTAGCAATTCAGAGTTTGGCGACTTTTTAGGTTTCAAAAGAGGGGCAACACTGAACAAAACCTGTAGCTCTACGTCAAGCAAAAATTCTTCGGCAACGCAACAAATGCGGCTAATCACAGGAAACTACGGCATGATGCGGACGCGACCCAAACTTATCTGTCCCATTTCTCAATTCACAGGAAGAAGACCCACTAATAGGTGTAAAGGAGCTAAAGATGTGACCATTGTAATATCAGCAAAGGCCCACGGCATCACAGGTGCAGGAAAGCGGGTCTGTGTGTGTACATATACATACACACACACACACACACACACACACATTTAAATGAAGGGTCCCATGATAGACATTCAACTTAGAGTGGGCCAACTTGATGAAACAAAAATGTCTGTAAAATGAACATGTGAAGGACCATTTCAGCATTTCAGCATTTCAGTGGTGATAACAGAAGTATTTGGGAGGATCTACTTCCAGAGTGAAAACCACACTTTGGCTCCCCATCTTCCCAGAGTCAGGAGGGGCTCTGTTTACCAGGCTCGATGGGAACCTCCTCCACCATTCAGGCACGTCTCTAACGAACGTCCAAGTGAATGAGGAGCGGCTGACCTTTTCACCCTTCATTCTCACACAGGAAATACAGGCACCGCTCAGCGAAAAATCCTTGACGTGATGCAAGACTGAGAACATCAGAACTCCGGGCTGCTGTGGACGCCCATGGAAATGCTGACCAGGGCGAATGATTTCTAATTATATTCCTCTACTTGCCGATCAGCTCCAGGATAAATTTAAACGTGATCTTTATTGGGGAAATATCCAAAGCCCATAAATAGAATGACAACTTTTGTCTGAGAGGAAGTTTCGCGTCTTTGAATCAGCATTGCTGTATGTCTGCACAAAAGGACAAATGAGGCCAGGAGCTAAACATATCGAGTGGCACTTAAGCAGACATTCTCACTGCTGGGCAGGTGGTAGATGCAGACGATGACCCCCACCGACCTTGCGCAGGAATTAAAAAGGCATCTGCAGTGAACTTACCGCGGTCAGCTTTACAGCTGCATACTTTGCTCAGACCATTTCTAATGCTCATTTAAAACAGCCTCTTATAAAGATGGCAGGAAGCCACTCAGCTGTGATGTATCTGTAATTAATACTCAAGACATTTAATCACCACTATTGTAGACCCTAAGTCTGCTTAATAAATTGTTCATTCCATTCAAACTTTTTTTACCGTCATTTTAAATCAGCAAGTATACTTTTCTTACCTTTTTTTGGCAAATTCTAGTTTTAAACTAACTTAAACTCAAGATATGAATTAAATCAACACAGCAATGAAAATGTGAAATATCTCATCAGCACAAATATAAGATGATCCTGATTATAACGACCTTCATTATAAGGCAACTGGATTACAAGTGTATTAAACAGCAAATGTTCCAAAAGACAAATGTATTACTGGGGGGGGGGCGGGGGACAGATTATGAATATTACAAATCTCACAACCAATGAAGCCGCAGAATGTTTTCGATGCACCAAACCCAAAAAACATACTACTGAGAAAGGTTGAGCCATATTAATAAATTATATGACAGCTCTTTTAAAATTAATGTTATTACCAGTATCAGTTTAATACTAGCAGAAGCACAGCTAGGGAAGCCAGCAATTTATACGACACTCAGGGATTCACGCAAAATACAAGCATTGCAAGGGTTGCAAACTGTCACGCATTTGGAATGATGCTCACACAAGAAATTTTAAGGGAAATCTATATTACAGTAAGTCACCACACTCGTTACCAAATATCATCTATTACCTTTTTTGAGACCCCGAATATAAGAAGAAATATATTTTGAGAAAGAAAAAACGTCTTATATTCGGGCCAACGTGGTAATTTCTCAGTCTAGTTGTATGCTGAATTGTACGATGTTTCTTCAGTATGAAATTACAGCTGACAGGTATACTCATGAGCACAGTGACAGGAAGTCAGCCCATTCACTGACGTGAAACAACATTCAATTCAGTTTTATTTGCAGAGCGCATTTTCACATTACATAGTGCCTAATGCCCCAAGAATGCAAGGTAGAGGCAACAGTGGCAAGGAAAGACATGTAAAACGTGAAATTCTTTTTAGGGATTCCACCCTTTTTCAAAATTTTTCTTCCATAGATTGAAATTTGACAGAACATTATGGCTGTTTTTGACGTGAATATACTGTAACACGTCTTGCCATTCTTTTACCAACCTGGGCTGGCCAGTCAATGTGTGGATAAGGTTCTGAAATAATCTGTTTCATTGAACAGTATACTGGCATAACAGATTCCTGAATATTACACGTCATACAGTGCGATCCTCTAACTAACGGGACCGGCACTGCAGCGACCATGAAAAACCTCACAAACTCAGACAAAGCATACAAGACAACTTTCTACTCTCCGTGGGAGTAGCACTGCTGCAGCTGCCCACAGGAAGGCTGCATCCATCAAGAAGGGGAGGGGGAAAAGCCCCCGGGAGCCTCATCCCTGGAAGAGTTGAAACCGCCAGAGAGTCAATGGGGTCAGACTTGTTGGGGATCGGTGGTGCTGAGGCGTCGCCCACGACACGGCCGCACTTAGATCTTTACCCGAGACGGCTCATCTGGGTAGGAGCGTGGAACGTCTTGTCTCTCCGGCATGATGAACATCTCTCTTGTTGGAGGAGCTTCGTAAACTCCGCATTTCAGTGGCGGCACTGTCTGAGGTATACAGTCCTGGGATTGGCCAGATCTCTGTTGGTTCCTACAGAACTGCAGGGTCTACAAAAGTACCCAGTTTGTGAATTCTGACTACATACTTATTGTTGCTACTCTGAAGATTCAGGTTAGGTCCAGTAGGCTACCACCTACTAGGAGAATGAGGCTGGACCTGGCCAGACTCCTTGATCAAGCTGTTTCTAATGAGTTTACACATGAGTTTGTATGAGGAACTTGCAGACTTGGGTCTGACTGCTGATTCTTACGTGATGCGTGAACTTCTGTGACAAGATCCTGAAGGTTGCTGCGGGTTGTGTTGGTGTTGCTGATGATCCCAGAAGGAGGTGTTTCATCTCACAGGGTACCCTGGATATTATTGAGCGGAGTCACTGTACACAACGTGGTTGCAACTCTAGCCTGTACCGGAAACCAAAAAGGGTGGGTGCAAGGGCTCTATAGTCCGCTGACTCACGTCCTGCTTACAGAGGAATCGAAGTATTACGCACATCCGAATCTGTCCCTGAGAGTTTTGCAGTCAGGGAGGGTGATGAAACGGTCCTTACTGACGACATTGAAGTTGTGACCTGCTGGGCCGACTACTGTGAGCTGCTTTTTAACACTGAACCTCTGGCTAGAACGTTAAACATCTCTAGGTCCACAGTTCTTAAGGCTGATCCTCCGATTACCTGTGAACCACCCATTCTCACTGAGATTGCAAAGGTATTGAACTAGCTGAGGGTAGGGAAGGTTGCAGGGATCTGTGGTATGCAGGGTAAATTTCTCCAGGCTGGTGGTAAGGCTGTCCTCCTGGCATTGCAAACAATCTTTGCTTCCATTTGGGAGATGGGCGTCATCCCAAATGACTGGAAAACAGGATGTTATCCCTATCTGAAAAGGGAAGGGTGATTGCCTGGATTGTGGCAACTACAAGGGGACAACACAGCTATCAGGTAAGGTCCCTGCTAGGGTCATCCTCAATAGGACCTGTGATTAATTTCTCCCCTACCAGCGACTGGAGCAGTCTGGTTTTATGCCTAAGAGGTCTACCATCGACCACATCCTAGCATTGAGGGTTCTTACAGAGTGCAAACACAAATATCAGCAGCATTTCTTTGCAGCCTTTGTTGACTTTCGTAAAACATTCTACTCAGTTGATCGAGCTGCCCTGTGGGACATCTTGAGACTGCACCAAAGTTGCTGGATGTCATGGCTGGCCAGTACACTGGTACTGTGAGTGTTGCGCAGACTGTAGGCAGAACCTCTGTGTTCTTCCCAGTTGATTCTGGTGTTTATCAAGGGTGTGTTCTCACCCCTACAGTGTTCCATGCTTGTGTGAACTGGGTGTTGGGCAGGGTCGTGAAGCAGCTGTCAGGCATCTGGTCTTGAAGAAAGATTCACTGATCTTGACTTTGCCGATGATGCTGTGATCTTGACGGAGTCAATGGAGGCCCTGATCGGGGCTGTCAAGAGACTGAGGGAGGAGTCTAAGTGTCTGGGCATGTGAGTATCCTGGATAAAAACCAAGATGCAGGCCTTTAATGACCTCTTTGGCAGAGCCATCAGCCGTGCGTCTGTCTGTGGAGGGAATGTTGACCGTGTCAAGAGGTTCACTTACCTCGGCAGCAACATTCACGTCTCTGGTGACTCTTCCTATGAAGTCAGTAGACAGACAGAGAGCATGGGGGGGTCATGAGGTTGCTGGAAAGGGGTGTGTGACGCTCCAAAGATCTTTGTAAGAGGATGAAGGTCCTCATCTTTAGAGTCATGGTGCTCCCTGTTTTACTGTATAGATGTGATATAGGGAGTCCCGATTGGGACACATTACCTGCATTGTGAGGGAGTGCCAATTACGACCCTATGGCCATGTGGCATGATTCTCTGAGGGTAATCTGGCTCTGATCCTCATTACTGACAGCCAGGGTGGGACTAGACCACGTGTCAGCCTGAGGGGTTGTCAACTGGGATGATGTTTCATCATGCGTTGGGTACAGCAACGCGCTGTACCAGTGCATGCTCTCCAATCTTACCTGATCTGAGAGTATATGATTTATTCAACCCACTAAATATCGAGAGATTTTATAATTCTCTCTGAAATAGACTAACTCTTGTTCAAGGTGTACTGGTGCTTAACACGTCATGATGCTCAGTGGAATCAACGATCACTGAAGGTGGATAGATGAAAGGATGGACATATGGGAGAGACGAATGAGCCGATGACTGTCTTAAAAGTTACATTAATCAGTAATTCACACTGGTAACAAACTTTGAGATTCTCAAAAACCTTAACATTGTATGGACATATTGATTAACTTACCACCTTCCTGCATGTTGAACATGAAATATTTATACAGTTAAGGAAAAATGTTTAGGTCTGGTTGTTGGGAAGGCCATGACATCATCCTGGTCTTCATGTAATTGCTCTTGAAATTGGTTATTACTATGTATGGGGGTACTACCATCTTGGAATATGGAAACATGGTTGGTGAACAGAGTTTGCACCATACAGTGCATCTGATCCTGTTGGGTCATTAAAGGGCCATGTGGAGAAAACCTCAAAGCCAATGACTCCCTCAAGATGGCTGCCCTAACTGATAGCAGGAAATCTCCAAATGTAATCCTGTGCAAATCTAGGAAAAAGAATGAAGGATAATTCATCACACCAGGTTTTGTGCTCCTTAAACCAGGTTATGGATCTCTGTATGTTAGCCTTGGATTGCATAAACTTTGAAGCTCTGCCAACACAGAGGAGTTGATCCAGTTCTGGGGTAATTTTTGCACATGTACTTTTGTTGGGTTTAGCTAAAGTCCTGATTTTCCAACATCTTTTATAGCTGAAACATTGCTAATTGTGATGTGTAATTGTTTATAATTGTGATTTACTTTATTAAGGTTAAAATCCTTTTTCATGTGGAGTTTCCATTCTTTTGCCTGCCCTCTATATTTTTGCTGATCCCTTGTAGTGGACGACATTCCAGGAGATAAAAGCTGTCTATAAGCGCAATGCTACAATTACCTGCCTTTTCCATAGGCATAGCTATTGCTTACATTTTAACTTCTCAAGAGGCTATAAAAAA